GAGACCATCAGCAGGAGAACCATACAATACTGTTTTACTACAGATGGTTGTTTGATTCATGTTTAGTTAACATACATAAAACTGAATAGAGTTTAAAAATTGTTTTCTGGACAAAGGCGGTCATGCTATTGAGGTGGTATCGAGAAATTGTTTGACTGAAATACATGCAAACAGCTTTACGGTATATCCGGGTGAAAATATTTAAGAAGGGAGTGCAACATTAAAAAGAGAGCATCGAGATGTCATTTAGCATACTAGCCAATCCTTATCAAGAATTGATGCATATTTGGTCTTGGTATGAGATTTTGAAAAATATTTGAAATATGAAAACAAAACCTGAGATCACAATTGTTAATTGCCCCGTAAGTTTTCGAAGTGATATTAGAAACGGTTCCTTATAATTACAATTAAGAGTTTTCTCCTGCAATTATAGAAATTATTATAACACTTCCCGTCAAAATGCGCTTCCGTGTTGAAAGAAAGTCAATATAGCGTGCAAATTGATTAAAGAAAAGGAACATCCCCAGACAGATACCACAACCATCAAAAGTCAAATACTAATGAACACATTTAATGATTGTGATGCATATTGTGTGCAGTTATGATGTTATGAACCTCAGTCGTCCCATAAACGTAAGTCGTCCCATAAACGTTAGTCGTCCCATAAACGTTAGTCGTCCCATAAACATTAGTTGTCCCATGAACGTTAGTCGTCCCATCAACGTTAGTCGTCCCATAAACATGAGTCATCCCATAAACGTTAGTCGTTAGTCGTCCCATAAACGTTAGTCGTCCCATAAACATCAGTTGTCCCATAAACGTTAGTCGTCCCATGAACGTTAGTCGTCCCATAAACGTAAGTCGTACCATAAACGTTAGTCGGCCGATCAGCATTAGTCGTCCCATAAACGTTAGTCGTCCCATAAACATAAGTCGTCCCATAAACATTAGTCGTCCCATAAACATTAGTCGTCCCATAAACATTATTCGTCCCATAAGCGTAAGTCGTCCCATAAACGTTAGTCGTCCCATGAACGTTAGTCGTCCCATAAACGTTAGTCGGACCATGAGCGTTAGTCGTCCCATGAACGTTAGTCGTCCCATAAACGTTAGTCGTCCCATAAACGTTAGTCGTCCCATGAATCTTAGTCGTCCCATGAACGTTAGTCGTCGTCCCATAAACGTTAGTCGACCCATAAACGTTAGTCGTCCCATAAACATTAGTCGTCCCATGAACGTTAGTCGTCACATAAACATTAGTCGTCCCATAAACGTTAGTCGTCCCATAAACATTAGTCGTCCCATAAACATTAGTCGTCCCATAAACATTAGTCGTCCCATAAACATTAGTCGTCCCATAAACATTAGTCGTCCCATAAACGTTAGTCGTCCCATAAACATTAGTCGTCCCATAAACGTTAGTCGTCCCATAAACGTTAGTCGTCCCATAAACATTAGTTGTCCCATAAACATTAGTCGTCCCATGAACGTTAGTCGTCACATAAACGTTAGTCGTCCCATAAACGTAAGTCGTTCCATAAACATTAGTCGTCCCATAAACGTTAGTCGTCCAATAAACGTTAGTCGTCCCATAAACATTAGTCGTCCCATAAACGTTAGTCGTCCCATAAACGTTAGTCGTCCCATGAACGTTAGTCGTCCCATAAACATTAGTCGTCCCATAAACGTTAGTCGTCCCATAAACATTAGTCGTCCCATAAACGTTAGTCGTCCCATAAACATTAGTCGTCCCATAAACGTTAGTCGTCCCATAAACATTAGTCGTCCCATAAACATTAGTCGTTGTCCCATAAACGTTAGTCGTCCCATAAACGTTAGTCGTCCCATAAACATTAGTCGTCCCATAAACGTTAGTCATCCCATAATTATAAGTCGTCCCGTGAAAGTACTTAAATTTATAAACATTAGTTGTCCCATAAACATTAGTCGTCCCATGAACGTTAGTCGTCCCATAAACATTAGTCGTCCTATAAACATTAGTCGTCCCAGAAACGTTAGGCGTCCCATAAACATTAATCGTCCCATGAACGTTAGTCGTCCCATACATTAGTCGTCCCATAAACGTTAGTCGTCCAATAAACGTTAGTCGTCCCATAAACATTAGTCGTAGTCCCATAAACGTTTTTCGTCCAATAAACATTAGTCGTCCCATGAACGTTAGACGTCCCATAAACATTAGTCGTCCCATAAACATTAGTCGTTGTCCCATAAACGTTAGTCGTCCCATAAACATTAGTCGTCCCATAAACATAAGTCGTCCCATGAACATTAGTCGTCCCAGAACGTTAGTCGTCCCATAAACATTAGTCGTCCCATGAACGTTAGTCGTCCCATAAACATTAGTCGTCGTCCAATAAACGTTAGTCGTCCCATGAACGTTAGTCGTCCCATAAACATTAGTCGTCGCCCCATAAACGTTTTTCGTCCAATAAACATTAGTCGTCCCATGAACGTTAGACGTCCCATAAACATTAGTCGTCGTCCAATAAACGTTAGTCGTCCCATGAACGTTAGTCGTCCCATAAACATTAGTCGTCCCAGAACGTTAGTCGTCCCATAAACGTAAGCCGTTCCATAAACATTAGTCGTTGTCCCATAAACGCTAGTCGTCCCATAAACGTTACCCATAAACGTTAGTCGTCCCATCAACATTAGTCGTCCCATGAACGTTCGTCGTCCCATAAACATTAGTGGTCCCATGAACGTTAGTCGTCCCCTGAACGTTAGTCGTCCCATCATCATTAGTCTTCCCATAAACGTTAGCCGTCCAATAAACATTAGTTGTCCCATAAACATAAGTCGTCCCATGAACATTAGTCGTCCCATAAACGTTAGTCGTCCCATAAACATTAGTCCTCCCATAAACGTTAGCCGTCCCATAAACATTAGTTGTCCCATAAACGTTAGTCGTCCCATAAACATTAGTCGTCCCATAAACATTAGTCGTCGTCCCATAAACGTTAGTCGTCCCATAAACGTAAGTCGTCCCATAAACATTAGTCGTCCCATAAACATTAGTCGTCGTCCCATAGACATTAGTCCTCCCATAAACGTTAGCCGTCCCATAAACATTAGTCCTCCCATAAACGTTAGCCGTCCCATAAACATTAGTTGTCCCATAAACGTTAGTCGTCCCATAAACGTTAGTCGTCCCATGAATGTTAGTCGTCCCATAAACATTAGTCGTCCCATAAACATAGTCGTCCCATAAACATTAGTCGTCCCATGAACGTTAGTCGTCACATAAACATTAGTCGTCCCATAAACGTTAGTCGTCCCATGAATGTTAGTCGTCCCATAAACATTAGTCGTCCTATAAACATTAGTCGTCCCAGAAACGTTAGTCGTCCCATAAACGTAAATCGTCCCATGAACGTTAGTCGTCCCATAAACATTAGTTGTCGTCCCATAAACGTTAGTCGTCCCATAAACGTTAGTCGTTCCATAAACATTAGTCGTCCCATAAACGTTAGTCGTCCCATTAACATTAGTTGTCCCATAAACGTTAGTCGTCCCATAAACATTAGTCGTCCCATAAACGTTAGCCGTCCCATAAACATTAGTTGTCCCATAAACGTAAGTCGTCCCATAAACATTAGTCGTCCCATGAACGTTAGTCGTCCCATAAACATTAGTCGTCCCATAAACATTAGTCGTTGTCCCATAAACGTTAGTCGTCCCATAAACGTAAGTCGTTCCATAAACATTAGTCGTCCCATAAACGTTAGCCGTCCCATAAACATTAGTCGTCCCATAAACGTTAGTCGTCCCATTAACATTAGTTGTCCCATAAACGTTAGTCGTCCCATAAACATTAGTCGTCCCATAAACGTTAGTCGTCCCATAAACATAAGTCGTCCCATAAACGTTAGTCATCCCATAAACGTTAGTCGTCCCATAAACGTTAGTCGACCCATAAACATAAGTCGTCCCATAAACGTTAGTCATCCCATAAACGTTAGTCGTCCCATAAACGTTAGTCGTCCCATAAACATAAGTCGTCCCATAAACGTTAGTCATCCCATAATTATTAGTCGTCCCGTGAACGTTAGTCGTCCCATAAACATTAGTTGTCCCATGAACGTTAGTCATCCCATAAACATTAGTTGTCCCATAAACATTAGTCGTAGTCCCATAAACGTTAGTCGTCCCATGAACGTTAGTCGTCCCATAAACATTAGTCGTCCTATAAACATTAGTCGTCCCAGAAACGTTAGTCGTCCCATAAACGTTAATCGTCCCATGAACGTTAGTCGTCCCATAAACATTAGTCGTCCCATGAACGTTAGTCGTCCCATAAACATTAGTTGTCCCATAAACGTTAGTCGCCCTATAAACATTAGTCGTCCCATGAACGTTAGTCGTCCCATAAACGTTAGTCGTCCCATAAACGTTAGTTGTCCCATAAACATAAGTCGTCCCATAAACATTAGTTGTCCCATAAACATTAGTTGTCCCATAAACGTTAGTCGTCCCATAAACTTTAGTTGTCCCATAAACATTAGTCGTCCCATAAACGTTAGTCGTCCCATAAACGTTAGTCGTCCCATAAACATTAGTCCATAAACATTAGTCGTTCCATGAATGTTAGTCGTCCCATAAACATTAGTTGTCCCATAAACGTTAGTCGCCCTATAAACATTAGTCGTCCCATGAACGTTAGTCGTCCCATAAACGTTAGTCGTCCCATAAACGTACCTTATTTATTCCATCTCGACCTGCAATCATTTATAACTCATATTTATATATATGTTAAAAATCGATAAACAATCAGATCAATAAATAAATAAATAAATTTCAAAACGATATCCATCTTTATTTTGTGAGACAAAACATTTGAAAGATATGATATTTCTATTTTAATTTTTAACTTAGTGCTATCTTTGTTGACCGCAAATATAAAGAAATTTAACCTCCCGCGAATATTACCAACTAAACAGTATATTCGGGAAATACAATTTAACAGATAAAAAGTAACATCATTTGTTTTGTAGTATAAACGATACAATGATGAATAAAGTCAACGCTGACAATAACACTGTATTACAAGCTACATTTTTCATATTTCCTTTTGAAATATTGTCTCTTGTTCGTGATATTGCAGCAGACAGGTATCCGTTCTCTCCTACTGGTATTTTCCAAATGAATATATTTGTTTTTGTAATGTTTCTTCTTCTTGACACAAACATGTCCAATCCGTTGGCAACTAGCCAAAGATTCTGACGGTCATCAACAGCAATAGTGTCCACCCAGCGTAGATTTGTTTCATCGGAGATGACCATTTCTTGATTAAACGCACTGTACTTGACCCGACTGGTTGACCACTTATAAAGAGCATTCGTGGTCAAGCCTCCGAAATATAAAGCCTTATCAGTGAAAACCATCCCGTCTGTGAGGTCAATTTTTCGGCCAACGGTTTCAACAGACAAGATCGATGATTGATTTCTAAGCAATGCCGTTGAAACTCTATATAATGAGTAGCCATTCAGTGCGCAGTAGTACAGGAACCGGAAATCGGAGCTCATTGCTACTCCGTCAATGGTGGCGCTCGTTATTACTTGATTATCTCCAATATTAATTGTCTCTGTCCCGGGTTCGATTCCCATGGACGGATGTTTGAAAAAATACGACGTATTCCGTTGGCAGTCATACACATACAGTTTGGCATCAGCCGTGTCTGTGATGTATGCAAATGAGGCAACACCATTGACGTAATCAAGAACAATGTCGTTCATAAAATTAGACGCTCTGGAAACAACTGCGTCGGGAAACTCGTGGACGTGAACGAGCTGGTCATTTCGGACGTCGTAGATAACCAATTTAGCAGGACAGAGGTTTTGTGGCTGGTCAGTTAGTCTATTGATTCGTCCAGAGTCTATTATCCACATGTGTCCAGTGTTGGGGTCAATCTCCATGCTTTGGACATATTGGAGTGCGTCACAATCCCCCAAAGTTTGCATTTTCCAATTAGGAAATGGCTCCAAAATATTCTCATTTGTATCTGTCGGATTGATAATTACTTTGTTAAGCGTCGATGGGACGCCTGGTTTCCATCTTGGCACGGTCACGTAAACGCTTCCATCGAGTACTTTAACTCCAGTAATGATATTATTTTCCACAATGAATCGCTTGTCTGTGATATACTGTTGCTTTGCAGTGTCGTTTTGCCATGAGTAATCAAGGGACTTCCATTGGTAGACAATCTGCGCTTGTCCATCAAGCTTACCCTGCACAGTTGGTAGAATTAAGATGACAAGCGTGAAGATATAATTCCCCAAGGCTGCCATTACAGAACACATGACCATAGTTATATTTTATATAGCTATTCGTCGAGGAAATCGTATGTTGACTGCCCCCGAAATTGCCCTACATACTTTCATGGTCTCTGTATGCTCCTGAACGTACAAACATGTAGGTTACCGGTCATTGTTGAAATGTGACACAGTGTACATGGAAACAATGGAATGTGGTCCTATTTCAGGTCACTAGATACACTTTCTAATATTNTTGTCCCCAGTCAGTGGTTTTTTTTTTTTTTTTTTTTTATTAAACTTCATCAGAGTACCATCAATTATTTCCACTGCACTATTATATTCATTTTCTACAGCATTATTCTACGTTAAACACATTTTTGGATTTGTTCAAAATTTCAGTTTTCGAAAAAAATAATACAAGAAACAAAATACAGAATTCGGGACTTTGTCAGTGGAAAAGAATGTTTCTTTTCGGGAATTATAAACAATAAACAAATATAAAGTATCAAAATGAAGGATGAATACATTGCAAGGGTAAGTAACTCTATACCAGAAAGTCCTTTATGTTGCTTTATTTGATATACATTAAAGAATATAAGAAGCGTAACAGTTCTGAAATTGAAATATTTGCAATTTTTGTAGTTGTATTCGAGATTAAGCCCCAGTAATTTTCAATTTGCTACCCATACACCTCTAGAAAGCAAACACGGCAAGACATTTCAAACATTTATCAGATAAATCTGATAATTAGTAATATTTTCGACAAAACATGTTGCTCCAATGAATTGTCGTTAAACTAGTAGTCGCTTTGATGTCCATAAAATCCGTTGTAAGCATTTGGACCTCGATATACTGGTAGGTGATAGCTTGCCTTTCGATATCGGGGACAACGTGTTATTTTCCACCTCGTACCAGTTGCTTATTTTGTAAAAATGTTTATTTTCTCCGGATATCTTTTAGTGAAATAATCACTCATATACATCGATCTAAGTGTTATATTTCTCTGTGGGAAATAAGAATACAATACAGTAAAGTTAGCGACAAAGCTTCAACCGGTCACCATTTTTTCTTTCAAAATAACATTTCTTCGTTAAACTAACCATACTTTAACAAAGTAGTGTAAATTGGTATGATATCTTATTTTGTGTTATCTGTAACATTCCAACATAATCCTAGACTAGAATAGTTAGCTTGTCGAAAACCTCAGAGTGACCACGCTAATATTGACAAAGTGAAAGGAATGCGATAGCTGGACAAGGTATCAATGACCGGAGTGCCTGCGGACATGTTTGATTTGTACAGTTCACTGGAGTGAAAGGCTAGATTGTTCAAATCAAAGGGGTTTGTTACTTAGATGGAAACCTTCTTCTTCTCTCTCTCTCTATTTAGGATACATAACACGGAAGAAATAAACAAAATTACAAATAAAACGTGTGTCTGTTATAAGATGCGAATTCATTTTGTTACAATAAGTAGTGACCTTTGCCGATATTCATGATCACATACATGTAGGTCAAATGAGTCGAAAACTTCAAATGACTTCTTGTCAAGAACCACGATGCCTACTATAGTGAATCAGTCGGCCTGAAATTCAAAGGATGGGAGTTCGTAAGTGTTTTACACGTGTACGTCTTATTACGAACGTGAGATGTTTTGGTGGTGTAGGAAAACCGGAGTGCCCTGAGAACAAGTACCGACCTGCGACTAGCACGCTGGTTACTGCCCCCACTTAACCCGCGACCTAGTGGTATAAAGGGGTAGACGCCCTTTAACATTCGGCCAACGCGGACCAAGGGATGAAGGTCTTTCGTGTTCATTTTCAACAAAATTTACTTCCCTATTCCTAATTAATTATTGTAGATATTCTTATAACTTTATTTTCAATATGAACTATACATTTTGTCAACACAGCTAAATAATAGATGAACGATACATACCTCTTGGGCCTCTTGGTGCCATTGCTATCTTGGTGGTAATATTCTTATATTACAAACATATCCTATAAAATGAGCCCAGGAAATTGACAGAAATTAAATCTACACACCCATCCCTTACCTCCTCTCTACCTATATATATATATATAACCATGTACAATACTGTCATTGTGAAGGTTGGTGTTTTTACCGTCGCCAAGATATTATTACTTACTGGTATGTATGTTGCTGATACCATTAAGATGTTTGTAATTTGCCAACGTTATTTAACAGGATATATCGAACACCATACATTTAGATTTTACATTTCCAAGGTAAGCTTTTAGCGTCACTTTATTCTATAAAGTATCGGCTACTACACATATGAGGTATACATTTTGGACACAAATTACACATTTCAATGGAAAACAATGGAAAGATACTTTCAATGTTGGTCGTAGTTAGAATGTATTTTCCAATCATTAATTACCCGTTGTTGCTTGTAAATGTGTAATTTTAGGCACCTTTCTCTTTTTGTATTATTTCTTCATTATGTTCCCGGAGCAATTTAGACTTGTTTCAATTTGACCTTTAACCTTCACTTTGACCTTTACTTTGACCTTTACTACCACTGATTACTAAAGAGATGAAATGGTTTTGTGGTTTAAACGTGGATTAAAATGTCTATGTTGTTTGGCTTTTTCATTGACTAACTAAAATAGTTGCATCCTTAAATCGTATATCTAGTGATAAGCTCACATGTTAAATAATAATAGTAGTCTATACGCATTTCTGGTATCTGTACATTTTCTACAAAACCTGAGATTAGCCACAATATTTATCTACTGATAAATGCATTGTTTGGCCTTCTGCGTGAGGCTACATGATGTAAGAGAGATAATCCGGGTTATCCCACCCTAGGTTCTCTCTTAAAATATTCTGGGGAAATACAATAAAATCTGAACCTAAAACAGATACAAATGCTTTGTTTGTATGACTGTCTTTATATGACCTTAGGTATTTCGAGGACGTACAGGAAAATAAACAAATACACAAACAAATACTAAAATGTAAACAATATTTTGTTATGGCTCTACTTGTTTATTCTGAATATTCGAAAGAAATAGTAAGGAAAGGAAACACCTGGATTTGCATATCTATTTAAAATAGAACCAAAGTAACTCGTGAATGGCCTTTATCATGTATTATTTATATTTCCTCAGAGCTGTTTGGAATGGAGACAGCTGGTGACATATATACAATGATATAATTTATCATGAATAATAAAATATGCATGTTCTCCTTCACCAGCTGGAGTTGTGTTTGTGCACACTGAAAACCAAGAGGCAATATTATCTAACGACATTTGTTTACGTGTTGGTGTAATATTTCTTTACAACAAAATCACGTTCCAGTTACGTCATTGTTTTTCAAATCAGTTTTCTATGGTAAGCTTCGTCATAAACATATGCACAGCGTACAATAAAGAAAGCAAAATTGTACAAAAAAAATCATCTGTAACTACCATTTTAAGTTATGGTTGTCATTCCTAAAGCTGCCATATTGCAGTCGAAAATGCCAGTGATCTTTAAATCATTCACCCTGAAGTTTCATAATGAACTATTCCAACCTTTGAATTGGAAGAGTTTAAATGTGTCTTCAGCGGTGAATGAGTTAAGGAAGCTTAGGATAAGTAAAAATTCTGTCATGGTGTACCTACTTTTAATGATTTACTGAGATTGGCAATGCTATCATGGAATGTTGGAGATGTCCGTCCACATAAGTGTACATTCAAGTCCAGACCTTAATTTTAGATATAAAAATATACATGAAATCTTTTTGACATACTTAGTTTAATGAAATTAAAGAAATATCGAAAGATCATAAGGGCACTGGTATAGGAATATGCAATGAACAGCTCCATTTACGGCATATAAGAATATAAATAAAATCGGCAACGGCGGAGCATAATATGATTTATTATAAAGCTCATAGATTAATTCATTTTTCTTTTTTGTACAAGACGGTACAGCTACATGTTGTAACAATCGTTGCATCGTGTTGTCATATTTCCGAACTAGAGGTATACAAACAATACAGATTGTGTGTTCGAAAATACTCCTACACTTATCAACTCAGGTACTTTGTAATTTATCAGTGTTTTGTTCGCTTATTCAGACAAGAAATCAAACTTCTTCTTGGTCTAGCATTTATATGTAATTCATACCCTCTTCTAATCAATAAATTGTTACAATCCACACAATATATTGACAACCGCGTCCGTGTTAAAATAGTTCAGGCGAGAAGAGTTCTTGAATTAAATTAGATAGAAAGTAAATATAAAGTTTGGAAATATGGGGCAGCCGGTTACTTTATTTTGCTTAAAGTGTGTTGAAATATACGTGCATATATGCGGTTGATAGTAAGCATAAGTGTGATCCCTATACAGAAATGCGTCCTTTTTGCAGTTACATTGTAACTTCGAGATTGGGGCGATCATATACGATAATAATGATGCGGTTGAGTGACGTTCTGCCCTAAAATATTCAAGTTATACTCTTTATCTTAAATTTTAGATGGGTTTTATGCATACATTTTCATCGACTAATTAACATCTCTTACGTTTCGTTGAGGAGTTGCCATTAATCTCAGCCAGCTACAGGCAGCTTTACTTGTTCCAATAGCCACCAGAAAGACAACCATGGATTGAGATGATATACAGAACTCGGACACTTTACCAGTGTGAGAAACGATAAACAAACTTAACCGTCATGACAACCGTCAGGTGATTACAAGTATTTATAGATATTTTTAAGGTAAATTCTAATTCCGTCACTACAACACTTAGGACAACAGTTAGGATAATCACAAAAGTGAACCGTCACTACAACAGTTAGGATAATCACAAAAGTAAACCGTCACTACAACAGTTAGGAAAACAGTTAGAATAATCACAAAAGCGAACCGTCACTACAGCAATTAGGATAATCACAAAAGAGAATCGTCACTACAACAGTTAGGATAATCACAAAACACCGTCACTACAACACTTAGGACAACAGTTAGGATAATCCCAAAAGTGAACCGTCACTACAACAGTTAGGACAAGAGTTAGAATAA